GCTGAGAGCTTGCGTGTGAGGGGTATCTGCGAGATACCTATGCAAGATATCTGCTTCCATCAGCTGATGAGCGCATAGATACGCACGGCCCCGTGATCACTGGACCTCGTGGGAAACGACTTTATATGTGTGCCGAGTGAAGGCTGCAATTTTGGAAGCGAATATGCATCGATGCTTATAATCGGTGTTTACCGTTACTATAGCCCTCCCCCCGCACGAGCTCGAGCTTTGAGAGCCGTGCCTTGGCTTCGGAATATGCCTATGTAGGGCTGCACATTAAGGGACACCTTTTTTTATGATATGACATTTGAAGGGTTTTCGGGGACGTGCGCGACCGTTTATTTTTTTTTGGCTCGTTCCGATCCGTTGGACTGGATCAGGTAGCAGTCACAACGGGATGTCAGGATCGCGGGGTATCAACTATCCTATCCTATGCTATCAGATCATGATCTGTCTATAGGCATTGTGGATTCAGCGGGCATTGTCGGGTAGTTCGAGGACGAGTATTCTCGAAACTGTCAACGAAATACTAATTTGAGGAGAGGACTGATAGGTAGTTGATTTTCAATACGGAAGCGCCAACTGGATCCCACGGGCACAGTCTCTTCACCAATAGCGAGCTCGAGTTGTGGCTACATTCTCTTTTCTAATATCGGTGGCCTTGAGAGACCCGCTCGAGCTCGTGCGCTCTATATGATATGATCGGGACACTCGATGCCGGGGCATAACTTGGACCCCGACCATGTTGGATATCGAAATACGCCCTTAGGTTATACACCCGAAGTTTACGAAGTACGGTTCTAATCCATAAAGTCCGGATAACACCGTGTATCCCTTCCCCCCTCCCAAGCCTGGAGGTGCACAAGACATCAGAGACGATTGGAGTGACTTGGAACCAGCAGCCGGTTCCGCGAAGCGATATGGGGCACCGCTGATACAGATGTTCAGGAACTTATACCCGAAGCAGTCCTTCCAACGGAGTTATACTGAGGCGCCTTTTTGGCTGTGCCCTTTTTATAGATATTATGCATGCATGCATATAATACTGTGGGGCTCCACAAAAAAATTCCTCGTACGATACCTATGTATGTGAGGAAGCGATATGTGTGGCGACGAAAGGAGCTGGTTGGACCGTTATCCAGAGATTTTAGGCGTTCTAACGAATGGGACTTTTCTGAGGCGAACGTGCCAATGATGGGGTAAATTATTATTATTATCAAGATATTATAGATCTAACAGGGTATAACGCCAGATACGGATATACACCCCAAAGTTGTCGGAACTACTTAATCTAAGATCAATTAAATTCGTATCATGATCATGAAACTGTAATATTAATTAGGAAGCCGTTACATTGGACATCCAATCGGTCGAGTTACATCCCGATAAGATTTACGCCGCTTCCCCGACGAATTAAAGATAAGCTTATTTTCAATCTAAATTTAAATTTTATAAGAAAAAAAAAAAAAAAAAAAAACATACACAAATTTTATCGCGGCGCATAAACCAATACAAGTGGCAAGATCCAGAGATAGGCTCCGGATCTCGAAACTCCTCATATCGATGCATGCACCCACCAAACCCTCCGATACTCGGGATACACCCGCGCCTGCGCGCGCGATGCATGCGAATACGCACGTGGGGGGTGGGAGGAGTATCTTTAAAGTTATAAATTTCAAAACTCGGGTACCTTTTCCTCGGAGTTCCTCTTCTTTGTGAAATGTTGTTGTGGTATGTCAAGAGAATAGGGAAAAAAAGGCTAAAGGGAAGCTGAGCTCACTCCCTTGCCTAATAGGTGGCGCTAGACTTCTTTTGTTTTTTGGTACCAATGGGGTGTATAATGGACGGTAACTTAAGCACACCTTATCTTTGCTGCGGGTCGTTCGCCTCGTTCTTGGAAGAAGGAAAAAAAAAAGTTTTACTGCCACAGCAGCCGAGGGTTACGCTGCGTCATGCGCGGTGTACTTGCTTGGAATTAATTATTTGTTGAGAAAGGAAGCTCCTTTTTCCTGTTCACGCGGGGAAAGAACCTAGCTAGTCTGTACTGCATATACATACCATACCATACCATAGGCTTGTAAGAATGCGTGCATGTGAACATGTCAATGTGCAGATACGCATGCAAAACGTAACAAGACCTGGATTGGCGAAATTTCGGGCTAAAGGGAACGTCGACCTTATTACCGTTTGTGCCAAAAGATGTTGATCTTGGCGTGTGTACGGGGAGGATCTCCTGATTGATGTTAGTTTGGGATTTGAGATTTGCAATTGCCAATGGCATGGGGGGGAGGGCAAATTTTGCATGGGGGGAAGTTCGCGAGGTTGGTTGAGGTTGAGGTTTTGAGGTTGACTACTTTTTGTGTTGTTTTGAAGTCTGGACTCGTTTTGGGTTGCGCAACGCATAAACTGCAACAAGTTGTGATGGGATACGGCCTCTATTCCAATGGCCTGGTTGCTCAAAAATTGGATATATTTTAATTAGAGTTTATATCGCGATTAATTTACCTAGGTAGGTAGTTTATGTATAGGTAGATGATGAATGAAGAAGTCTATATTCTGATACCTAAAAAAAAAAAAACAATCATGCCTCGCCTTCATCTTTTAATTACTTGTGTCTTCTTTCGAAACAGCCTAGTACACCCGGATTCACTAGTATCAGTAGAGGCCATGGCTCGGTATTTAAGTATTCTGCACGAAATGCTCTGGAACAAGGACCAGACCGACCCAAGTATACGGATCACAATATTTTCATCTCAACAGATCAGATACCCGGCGTTTAACAAATTCAAGTACTGCGGACCAACTAGGAAATCCGACGACCTCGGTGGGGGTGATACTCGCCGCCTGATAGACCTTGACTATAATGAGCTCACTACAAGATTTATTCGTTACCCTGGGACGGACATCTGTCTCGCTACGGTCGAATTTCTTGATATAACCCCTTTGGTTGAGTCGCTCAATTTGGGTGTCCCGCCGGGCAAATTGCTTCCTTGCGGTAGGGCGAGGATCTTGATCAGGGAAGAATACAACCAGTTGAAACAATCCCTACAAAAACAGCAACTTCGGTATCAGTTTCGAGATCACGAGAGTGTGCAGAAGACTATCCCAGTCTATCGGCCATCTGAAAGGGAACATTTAGTTGTGCATGGGCACGCTGGATTGGGTTGGTTATCATGGTACTGATATTTCCTGCTTGGGGTGGGAGGCTACTGACAATCGATTTCTCCTATTCTGAAATCAATAGGGAAGTCTTGTTTCCTGTCATACATTCTCGTCGAAAGGCTGCTCAAGGGGCTTGTGACGGTCTTTGTCCATTCAACTGGCAGCCATGTCATATTCGCACCGGAAGGCGCGTTTTATATACCAAACATTCGCGATATCGATAGTGCTGGAGCATCCCTTCGGCAATACTATAGCGACGGGTCGGTTTGGTATCTCAGCGAGACAGAGCCCGATGGATATGTTGGCCTCGAAAGCCAAACGGATTGGATGATAGTACAAATGTATACGTCTGGTGATACATCATCAGGAGGATGGCAGAAACAACATAGCATTCCGGGAGCATTTGTCAGTCCTTGGCCCTGGGTGGATATTTGTGCTCTTGCGTAAGTAGCTAGGTCGCTCTCTTACTTTTGATGGCTGATTATTGGTTTTTTGTATACTAATCTGGACGTGAGCTTTTTATAAAGATTATTTTACCTGAATCCGGACGGGATGTATAGACTTTACCGACTTTTTGACATCTATGGACCGATTCCCAAGGTCTTGTTGGACGATTTTCAGCCTCTTCAATGGGATTATGGTGTGTACTACCAGGATATTATGGATGATAGGATCGAAGCTCAGGCCAGGCTACTCGTTTGGAGGGACCCGAGCGGGTTTATGTTCGCGAACCACCAGTATCCCGACGAAATCGCCCGGAAGGATTTTCCTGACCTTGTTATCTTCGGCACCAAGCTAATTAAAGATAAAGTGTTTCCGGTAAAACAGTTTAAGACGGCATATATAGTCCGTCTTATCATGATGCTTGTGGGAGATGAATTTAAGAAGGCATGCCTGGATCTTTTCTTGAAGGAAGATGAGGATGGAGATTCGGGCTCTCATGTTGATGACAAGCTTGCACCTTCATACGGTTGGATTTATGCGGAGCTCTTGCATTTTATTAATATTTCAAGGACCTGTTTTGTGGAGCTTACGATTGTGAGAGTGGCGGGGTGGAGGAAGGACCCGATGATTGTTCATATCGCTCCATGCACCGAAGGGGAGCTGAAGTTTCGGGATGTTGGTCACCTTAAGCCTTATCTTATGGATCGGCAGGACGAGCAGAGATGCGATCCTAAAAAAATGAATAGGTACATGCGTCAAGCCTGCGCAAACTCTGATGGGATCGATGCGCTCTACATCGACAGCATTGGAGGGAGGATATGGGTGTTTAACATGGCTGTGGGGAGGGGTGGTGCTATATTTGCTGAATCTCTGGAGTGGCTCTTTTGGCATTTGCCTAAAGAGGTACAGGATATGGAATGGGGGATTATACATTGCGATCCTGATAAAAAACGGGATTGCAATGGGTTAACACTTATTGAGAATATGGGTGCCGGCCCCAGGTTAGATTTTTGGAGGAGCACCGAGAGGTGGTATGTTCTTGATAGAAGGACTATTGAAGGGGCTATTCAGTAATGCGCTACGGCTCCTTACTTAGGTAGTTACAAATTAAACATCTTATGCAGGACTCTGAAATTCGAGGCCAGCCTATTTATTAAAATTGATCGCGTCCATGGCATCATATATTGCTAGTCTCAGTGGGGTTCTTGTGTTGGCGACCTATATTAAGTGTACCAATTTCGATGTTGTATACTTGCGTATACCGTCTCGGTATCGTCTACGTATACTGACTGACTCATCATACCTAGGTACTTAATTTCACATACTTTTAGGATTTTAAAATAAAAAAAAATCATGTGAACGGAAGAAAGAAAGAAAAACAAAAAAAGAGGTCATGGTTCCTACGAGGGTCGAACTCGCGACCTTGGCGTAACTGAAGAAGTATATTCTCCTATTAGCACCACGCTCTAACCGACTGAGCTAAGGAACCTTGGTGATTGGTCGGGAGTCTTGCTTGGTGAGAATGTATTTTCTTGCAAATATAATAGTATGGATACAGCAGAGCATGTGAGTAGGATAGAAACCTGAACGGGTACTGGGAGTATCGCATGAATGTGTATCTTTATGGTTCGGGATAAATTTAGTCTAGGGCAAAAACAACCAAACGTGCAAGGTTAAAGCCAAATGTTCGAATTAGCAAAGAATATAACAACCGGCGCATGTAATAGAAGATCTTGACGGCAACTAACAAATAAAAGTAAACCAGAAATGAGTAGCGACAAAGACACCTCATATATCGATATATATATATAACCGTTTAATATTTATCTTTTAACTCCAGTGTTGTTTTTTCTGTCCTTTCTCTTTTTTCGAGTACTTCTTCCTTCCACTGCTTCACATCATGCAAGGCTTTCCAATAATCATCTTTTCTAACCATCAGAAATTCCGTGATCTCCGCTGGTGAGAATGTGTCGGCGTCCAGCAACTCTCCGAACCGAGCGGCGGCCGCCACAAGCTTCTCCTTTGCAACATCGTCGTTTACTTTTTCTTCGTCGTCATAGTCATGGGAGTACATTATAGTGAAGAGGTTAATTATCTGTTCCTTCGTTGCAAGTCCGAACGGGACTTCAAGGTCGACTCGGCCTTTTCTGACAAGTGCTGGGTCGAGGATTTCAGGGTGGTTTGTAGTCATTATCAGAATCCGTCCTGTTGTTGCATTTTATGTTAGGGTACTACTGCAAGATTTGGGAGTATGTATTCGAGATTGTATGCTATACCTTCATGACTTGCAACTCCGTCGATGGCGTTCAGTAATCCAGATAGTGTCATCTGTGTCTTCTGCTCTTCCCCACCTCGCTTTTCACCAGAACTATCTCTTCTCCTACTAATATCAACAGTGTCGATATCCTCAAGCAGGACAATACACCGGTTCGGCAGACCACCAAAGCAGGCCAGTAACCTGTCTTCAGTCATCCCCGTATCCACCAGACTTAGGCAATAAATCGGCAAACCAAAAAGCCCACCTAGCGCAAAGCTCAAAGAAGTCTTTCCGGTCCCAGGTGGCCCATGGAGTAAATAGCCCCTCCTGTAAGGGATCCCCCTGTTAGCGTACCACCTTGGAGACTTTGGGTTCAAAAACTCGTTGACGTCTTGCAGTAAAGTGCTTTTTGTGGATTCATCGAGACTTATGGTACTGATCGGACGGGTGGCGCGGGTTGCAGCGCAGTACCATTTGGGGTTCCAGCTGATGTCCTTGGGGCGGAAGATGCGAGTTTTGGAACATTCCTGGGTCAGGTAGGCTGATTTTGACTCTTGGAGGAAGTCTTTGATGGGGTCGGCGGATTGGCCCCAGCAGGAGATGCGGATGTATTCTGATTTGTCGACTTTTTTTTTTACATACATAATTAATTAGATGTAGTAAAGGGTATTTTAGGATACAAAAGACATGAATACTACTTACCGGTGAACTGCTTCCGAGAGAAATCATCTGGCAAAAAACTCTCGTCTTTGCTACGGGTTATCCAGAATCGTCTGCCACGGAAGTAGAAAACATGTTCGCCGATATGGGGCTCAAAGTCCGGTTCTAACCAAAATCCATCACTTTATTAGTCTTCCCGCTATGTGATATATATGATTATAAAGATACTACATTTCTATTAATAGAATCTTGAGACATACTAAGGAACTTCTGCCATTCAATCAAATGGAACTTCCCATCCTTCGCCGAGGCATTGTACTCCATAACTCTAGTCTGATCCTCAGTATATCCACTCGCCCTCGCAGTCCTGGCCTGTAATCTCCGCGTAGAGATATTCACGGTAAGCCACGTCATAACATGAGCATGAATAGGATCATTTTCTTCAATAGTTATAGACGTCTCATAGTACAGCGAGAGATAATACAACACCCTGGTCCAGATGAAAGCTGTAGAGCTGATAACTGCAAACGTGGCGGTGGAGAAACGTAAGATCCAGTTATAAGTTGCGAAGCTGAATAGGAAGTCGAAGATTTCAGACAGGAAATCTGGGCTTGCTGCGGCCGTGACCGGTACGAGAGTTTCTAACATGGTGAGGGGTATGGATGAAAGTGGGTCTGGGTCTCTATCGTACAACAGATCGTTGGAGTTTGCAGGTAGGCTTTGGATCTGGTTCATTCTGGTAGATCTTTTTTTCTTTCTCTTTCGGGGTCGGTGGGGTTTGGATTCTTTATATAAAGTTTTTTTCCCTTCTGAGATGTTACTGACTCCCTATATATTTTTTATTATATTTTCTTTATTTGCTTTATTGACTGAAAGGGAATATTCGTCTATAGGCTTCGGCTAGATGCTTGACGTCGATATGGATCCTTGGGTAGCAGACAATGAAATCATGGAAGTCATGAAATGGCCTTTTCTTGTCTAGGAAAAGATTGGACGGGCTTATTCCGTGCGTTGTGGGGACAAGATTGAGGGGGGGGGGTCCGTTAATGTCGTCGGATTGGATATTCAGCCGACTGGAGACCCGAATGTAGATATGAATCTACAAGGATATGGGTCTGCGGGAACTTAGTCTGGTCCAGGGACGGGAGAGCTAGGCTGGCTATGGTAGCTTTACCGACCTATCTCCGGATTTAATTTATGGTAAGCCTACTTAGGTAGGGTGGTACTATAGTTCGATCTGATCGATCTTGATATGATTTGTTGATTGATTGATAGATATAGATAGATAGATAACTCGGTAGCTCCTGGTTATAGGCGAGGGGCAGTCTTGGGTAAAAAAGAAAAAAACAAAGAGGATTAATTATGTGATCTGAGGATTAAGCTGGAGCTCGAAGTACCCCCCCAATATACTTTGTAGGCAGATAGATAGATAGATAATATTCGATATCGAGAGCGGGCTGGACTTCATGAATTTCAACTGCGTCGAAGTGGAAGCTTTATTAATTTATAACTGTATATATAACTAAATAAAAGGCTTGCAAAGCTTGCAAAAGCTGTTTTCTCCATGAACCGATATATCGTCGAAAGTGGCATGCGACATGGAAATGGATGAGTGAACTCTCTCCTGCAGTTCGTAAGAGTTCAGGGTACTTCCCAGCTCAGGGTACAAGCAAAAGAACCAGGTCCCCGACTCGAGGACGACTTGCAACAAGCCCCTCCAGTAAAAAGAAGAGGAAGAAGAGGAAGCTTTATCATGTGAAAACAAAAAACAAAAAAAAAACAGAAAACAGAAACAAAAAAAAAAAAAGCCAGAGCTAAACATGGCATATTGGCATTTCTCTTCTTGCTTCCCTGCAGGCAGTGTCGATCAGGAAAGCTGTATTCGGGCCTTCGACGACGAGTACCGGGGGAAAGAAATACCCAAATGTTGGTACGAAAGGTTTGTGCAAACAGGACATGCATATCCGCCAGTTTGTGTTCCCTAACGATAATTCGTCCATTTGCTGCGCTCCTCTTCGATGGCATATGCCAGGCAGACTGGGTAAGTACTCAATCGATCCATTACTAAGTTAGCTAACAATACGTATATATGTATGTACGCCCGTCACGAAACCACCGGCAGGAAATCAATAAGCCGCTATATTATACATATACCCTAGGCGAATAACCGTGGGGACTCCAAATATGCAGTTAGGAAGAAAGGGAGAAGTACTAGATCGATGTTTGTGCATTAACTGTTGAGGGATTTGCAAGTTGGGAAACGTTTCGAGATTGGACTTGTAAAGTCGATGTAGTTCGACGTCCTTTTGTTTTTCTAGTTCCCTTTGCGCGCTAGTGGATTTTGAGAAGTACTTATGAGCGCTATAAAAATGCAAATCGCTAACCAAATGGTCCACGTTTTTGGAGGACCCCGTGTGATCTGGCGCAGATTCCCAAGAAGTAAATGGCATTCTTCGGGATTTCGATTTCAGATCCCTCCTCCTACCGCTGAGCAAATCACATAATTGTATTAATAATGATTTAGGTTCAAGGCTGGCAAGGAGCGCCCCTCGCGCAAGCTTTGGATCGATCGATAAACGGGACGGGAGGACTTTGAACGAGCGCCGATGCTGTTGAATGGAATGCTCGCCGCAGGCTGCAGCAAGGAGGGACAGTAGCAGCAGCATCAACACTAACTAACTAATCCTAAGTTCCTCTCATGTATGCGTCGAAAGGTTGTGGCTTTTTTTTTTTTTTTTTTTTTTTTTTCAGCTTAAGACTCGAGTCTTCTCGCTTTCCCCGGCCGTCAGCATGTATATCCGGGAACTCTAAGGGTCACACAGCACCGAGTTCTCGGTAACTGACGAGGGGGTGGTGGTGATGCTGGACATGGACGCCACCGACTGTGGCCTGGTCTGTAGGCTTCATCTTGGTTTGGCTTGTTGAGTTTCTCTCTTTTCTTTTCCCTGTATTTTTTTCGAGGGAAGGGAAAGCTTTCTCACGAAGCGCCCGTCAAGCCTGCACCGTTGCTGCATTTCAAACGGTGGCCACCTTGTAAAGGGCTTAAGAGAGGGTGCTGACGAAAGGGACGTCTATTTGGAGGTAACACAAACCGAGTCGACAGTCCAACACTTGCATACGATAGTATACCATCTTCCTTTTCAAAAAAAAGAGCCCACCCGAAAGACTTCAGCTGTTGGTCAACATTTGCTCGGTTCTTTTCCCTGAAGTTCTTTTATTTCCTATGTCCCGTCCTTGCATGAACTTATCCAGGGATCGAAACAAAAAAAAAAAAATTGGACACAGAGTTATTCCAATCTACCGACAGCCGGCGTTTTCGTGGATACTGCAACCCTTCGATCCACTGGAGGTATGATTCCCAAATAGGCAAATTTTGAACTCGAAACTGCGGCCGTGCAGAGAGGCAGGAACCGAAAAAGGGTTGTAATGATGCAGCTCAACAGCTCGATTGAAGGGAACCTGAGGTAATCGGAGCGATGTGCCGTGATTTTTTCTAAAGCAAGCTATGAAACCAACGAAAGAAAAGTAAGGGGAGCAAGAAAGAAAGATTTTGTAAGGATCTTTTTTTTGGC